AATTAGTTAAATATAAAAAGTCGAACTCTGTAACTGTAACACATTTAGTATAATATTTTCCCCTGCTTTTGAAAAAAAAAAAAAAAGTGCAATTGATGCTCCTCTAAGTTTAGTTTTCTTTTGTTCAGTTCCTCCAAAGGTGTCCTCAGTCGATGTTTCAGGACGCTCTCTGAAGAGTGCAAATCTAACGTGGGAGAATCCAAGAGCCGACTGGAAATACATCCTTGAAACTAACGGCACTGATGTGTCAATTGAAGAGAATATGTCATTAAATTCTGTGTCGTACTCGGTGTCGAACCTGCAGCCTGGAACTCTGTATTCATTCAGCGTCATCACACAGTTCTCTGACCTCAACAGCGCTGCTTATAATGGTTTCATTATAACTAGTATGTATAAACGTTTATACTTTGATAAACTCCCCAAAAGGTTTTATTATAAAAAGTTAATCGAAAAGCCAAACTGCCTTTTTTTATTTAAGCTAATGTTATTATTAAAAGATGTGCTAAATGTAATACGTAAAGAATTTTGTCTGGTATAAATTTCATCTTTATTTCAGAAATAGACTGTGAGCGCGTAATGTGGCACGTTACGAACACATCGATCCAGGGAACAGTTGAAGGCCTGTTCTCAGATGCATCTGCCACTAATAAATCTAAAAATCACACCAGTCCTGCAGGCAGAAACGTGCTGTTCACTGACCTCTATCCTGGTGCAACTTATGAGATTATTCTCAAGTATAAAATGAATTCCAAACATCTTCAACAGTGTGTAAAAAATCCCAAAGTGACCATTTGTAAGTACTATTCTTGCTTGTAATGTATTGATTGTTTTTTTCACAGACATTATATCACTTTAAAAAACGTTTTTTTCATTTTGTACATTATGAAGTAAACAGTTTGTGCATTAAGCTGTACTGTCAGGAGATAAACTGTGAATTAATGCCATTATTGCCGTTTCTTGTGTCACAATGTGTCATTACCTCAATAAGTTGAATTAAAAAATAACTAGATCCAAAATAAGCAACATATTGATTGATTCCTTAAAGTAAAACTGAAACAAATTGCAGTGATTTTGACTACATTGCCCAGAATCAAGATCTGTCAAAAATCTCATAATCGAAAACAAAGGAAGTGTCAAATTTTCTTTCATGAAAAATGATTTTTGTACACAGCATTGACTTTAACATTAAACGTTCCTACAAATAGTCAAATGAACATCAGGAGATTCATTCGTTTTTGTAATCAATGAGATTATAGCTATTAAAAGATATTAACCCCACAAAATAACTGAATTAATTGTTCTGAAGTCTCTTCAAACAGAAGCACTGATGTTTAAATTAATTTTTGATTTTGTTGTTTTGTTCATGATCACATGTGATTCAATCTGTTTTGTTTGTTTAAATCACACAGCCCCTCCTTGGTTAAGTGGTCACTGTAGAAACTGGGCTTCAGGTTATTCTGCTCTTATAACCTGGAATAAGCCAGATGGTGTGTGGACGAATGTCAGAGTTAACATGACCGACCAGTCTCACCTGTTGGATGGAACACTGAACCAGGTCGTCATAAATGGACTTCAACCTGCCAAAACATACAAAGTGTCTTTAGTTTCGCTGTCTGGTGACCGAAGTTCTGATCCGTCTGTTTTCTTTTGTGATACTGACAACAAAGGTGAATGAAAAGTGAAAGACACGTCTGGTTTTGCGCTTCAACACTTCTTGCCCTGAATGATTTTATCACTACTTCTGTCCCTGCAGGAGTCATTGCAGGGTTCGTGATGGGGATTCTGATTTTTGTTCTCCTTGTTTGTGTGGCTGTTTTCATTTTCTTCAAAAGACCAGATATTATCAGGTGGGCTTCGCCTCAGTGACAAAACTACGAACTTTGATCTTAGAAATTTAACCTGCTAGCCGTTTAAACAGTGATGCTGTGATTTATGTCCATAAGCAGAAAGAAATCGTCCGTTGCTGGATCCAAAAAAGCTGGAAAAAAGCGGAAGTGAGTAATCTTGTCAGTCAAATCACACTCTGGGTTTAATGCATTGATTAATGCTCTTATATATTTTTTTTAGTCTGTAAATTGTTAAAACATTGTATTTTTGCTGCTTTCTTCCAGGGCTATTCCTGTAGCTAAGTTTCAAGACCACTTCCATCAGCTGAGTTCGGATGAAAACAGAGGCTTCAGTCAGGAATATGAGGTGCAATTAAAATATATTTTTTCTTCCATGTCTTTTTCTCTAAGGAACTTTACTTTTTTTTTGTGGTTTAAACCTTGAATTTCTATTCTTGTTTAATTTCATGCTGCATTGTTATTGGACTTGCACGTAGGATCTGTCTCCTGTCGGCACAGATCAGACACGCAAGGCAGCGACTCTTCCAGAAAACAAAGTGAAGAATCGATTCACCAACATCCTGCCCTGTGAGTCTGTCCTCATGCTGTTAGTGTGTGTTCTCCTGAGCTGTGCTGATTGTGTGTGGTTTAGAATCATTTAATCTCTATCAACGTACAGTGCAGTAAAAGCAACTTGCAGCTTCATTTGGTTTTATTTTAGATGACTGGAGTCGAGTGAAACTGAACACATCAAGTCCCAACGACATCTTGGACTACATAAATGCCAGTTACATGCCAGTAAGTATTTATTTGTAACCAGAGTGAATAATTTTCACAATTTCTGTGGGGATGAGAATGAGGGAGGACTTTATTAGTAAAGCTCAGTTGTGTGAGTATTTAATACACTAACTTGATGGTTTTACAGTTTATAGTCTTGTTTAAACTAAAGCCGGCAGCCTAAGAATGACGACAGATCAAATCCATTCCAATAACTCCTCGGTCAAAGGCTTCAACAATATTTCCTTTAAAAACACTATATTGTACCAGAGTCGAGCACACATGACAACAAGGCAGGCGTTTTACTGCTCTTCTGCATCAGTGTCTGACTAACTTTAAATCATTCATTAATCTGTTGGAGGGAGCTGTCATTTTATTTTTAAAATACTCTATTCAATTCAGTTTATTTATATAGCACCAAGTCACAACAGAAGTTATCTCAGGACACTGAACAGAAACATTCACATACATTATAAATTCCACTTAGTAAAGTTATCTATTTAATGAAGGAAGGAAGCCAGCAGATTGTGTTGAGTCTTCATTCCATTGCAGTCTTCCATCCTGAGCAAGCACAAAGGCAACAGTGGAAAGGAAAAACTCTCTCCCAACAGGAAACCTCCAGCAGAACCAGGCTCAGAACAAGCGGCCATCTGCTTCGACCGGCTGAGTTTGAGAGGACAGGAAGGAGGAACAGATACACAATGGCAGGTCCAGAATGGAGGCGAGCAGGTCCCTCATTAGGAGGAAAGACAATAACAAGAAAAAAACAAACAAACAAAAAACCTTTAAAATAGACATAATTACAAATACAATATATTCATTTGATGAAATGAGTCAGTTTGTCCTCCAGTACTCTAAGCCTATAACAGCATAACTAAGGGATAGGCCAGGAAACTCAAACCAGTCCTAACTAAAGGATTTATCAAAAAGGAAAGACTTGAGCTTAGTCTTAAAACTGGACAATGTGTCAGCCTCATGGACAGAAACTGGAAGTTGGTTCCACAAGAGAGGAGCCTGGTAACTGAACGATCTGCCTCCCATTCTGCTTTTGGAAACTCTAGGAAACACAAGTAAACCTACAGTCTGGTGGTCAAGTGGTCTGTTAGGAAAATATGGAACAATAAGATTTGTAATATAAGATGGAGCTAGGTTGTTGAGGGCTTTGTAGGTTAGAAGTAAGATTTTGAATTAATTTCTGAATTTGACAGGGAGCTGATGAAGAGAAGCTAAAACTGGAGAGAGATGATCTCTCCTGCCAACTCTGTTGATTCAAAAAAACTGTTTTACTGAACAATCTGTACTTTCTATTTGTACAGTTTACACTGGTCTCAAAACCAAAACGAGTTTATGAGAATGAAAGCTTAACAAGCCCAAAATAAAATCAGTACTAACTTTTCCATTGTGAAGAACGTCTAATGTTGATGCTGCAAAGACTTTGAACTGTAAAAAACCAAGTTAGCTGTGACGGTTTTAAAAAGAACTTCCTCGTTATTTGTCTAAATGGTCATGTTCCCCATCTCCTCTGCTGTCTACTCATGGTTCCCGTCATCTCTTTGCAGTCCTGTGTAGAAAAGATTCCACTTTGTGTCAAAAGAATAATTATGAAATCTCTTTTTTAAATTAGATCCAAATAATATGTTGTTACTTTGTTTATTATGTATAGTAGATTCAACCGGTGACCTGATCACACCTGCAGGTGTGCCTTGGACTTTATCCTGACAATGATGATGCTTATGCACTTTTATTTATTTACACACTGCAAGAACTGTACCACCCTCAAAAAACTATTAATATTAAAGAAATATTGTTTACTCAAGTGCCTAAATATAAAAGAACAACACTGATAATCCTGAAATGTTCACTGTTAAGTGTAATAGTTTAATTTAAACGATTAAAGTACTTGTATGTTCACACTGATTTCAAAACCAGCAATCAATGCTGATCTAAGAGTTTTTATTTCAGTCTCAAGCTGTGAAGTTATTTATAAATCATCTATGTGAACTTCTTCTTAGGGCTACAACAGGAACAGAGAGTATATTGCCTCTCAGGGACCTCTGCCCTCAACAGTCAAAGATTTCTGGACAATGATTTGGGAGCAAAGAGTTAACGCTGTTGTCATGGTAACCAACTGCACTGAAGCAGGACGAGTAAGTTTTCACAAAAATATCAAAGTTATTGTATTTATTATGTTTTAAGTGAAGTATCAATCTGAAATGCAGCAACACATTGTCAGTCGTCTGACTTATCTTGTAATGTATTGTCAGATAGTTTATCTTACGGTGGCCCTGAGGTGTAAATGAACAACATTTGAAAAAACAGAATTACATTTGAAAAAACTGAATTACATTTGACAAAAACTGAATTACATTAGAAAAAACGGAATCATTCAAAAATTATATAATTTTCATTTTTTTCTAATGTGATTCCATCCATCTATCCATTATCTTTACCCGCTTTTTCCATTTTGGGTCACGGGGGTCGCCGGTGCCCATGTCCAGCAATCACTGTGCGAGGGGCGGGGGACACCCTGGACAGGTCTCCAGTCCATCACAGGGACACATAGAGACAAACAAGACAAACAACCATTCTCACTCACACCTAGGGACAATTTAGAGTTACCAATCAGACTAACATGCATGTTTTTGGTCTGTGGGAGGAAACCGGAGTACCCGGAGAAAACCCACGCATGCACGGAGAGAACATGCAAACTCCACCCAGAAAGGCACTCGGACTGGGATTTGAACCAGGGACCTGCTTGCTGAGAGGCAGCGGCTCTTCCAGTTGAGCCACCGTGCTGCCCATGGCCACTTCCTCTTTGGCTTAATGTAATTCTGTTTTTTCAAATGTTGTTCATTTATACCTTAGAGCTACCATATCATCTGAGCCAGAAACACACAATAGCTTTCTTTGATAAGAAAAAAAATGCAGGAAAATAATAACTGTAATGTGTTTGTTGATATTTTGTTTTCTCTTAGATCAAGTGTGAATGTTACTGGCCTGAAGAGCTGAAGAGGTCGAGTCTTTATGGAGAACTGTTGGTCACTTTGAAATCTGAACAAAAGGAGTCCAACTGGACACTGAGGCAGTTTGGAGTGAAAAATGTATATAATGCCTAAATATTCAAAAAGAAATAGTTTGAACACATATTCATGAACTGTGCAGTAGGGTTTACGGAATGATATTAAATGTTTATAGTTGCTTATTATGCTCCTCTAAATGAATATTAGTTACTTGGTATAATTTTTGATCTGCTGCATCAGGAGTCCGGACGTTTAGTAACTGATTTCCTGCATGAAACCCTGTTTTTGTGCAGAGAAACAACTCCGAGGAACGCACAGTGAAACATTTTCACTTCACTGCCTGGCCTGACCATGGAGTCCCTCAGGGCACTGAAGTCCTGATCAAGTTCAGAGGTCTCGTGAGACGGCACATAGAGAGTGAAGGCTCTAACGCTCCAACGGTGGTTCACTGCAGGTACAGAGAAAAGCCCCACTCTCATCATGGGTGGAGTATTTGCAAAGAAGCAGTGGGTTTTCTATGAAAATATGAGCTAAACAAACAAAAAAAAAGCCACATTTGGATATTTATTGGATCAAGTGTAGAAAACACTCAACAGACTGAACAGTGTCATTTTTTAAATCACATGGAGAAACTGAAAAACTATGTCCACCTCATGATTCAGCAGCTTGTACAAGCACGTCTTGCAGCAATAGCTCTCCGTTATCGTTTCCTGCGTGACTTCGTCAGTCTCTAACATGGTTGTGGAGGAATTTTGGCCCACTCTTCTTTTTAACATTGCTTCAGCACATTGAGGTTTGCAGACATATGTTGGACCCTTCAGGTCCCACTACAGCATATCCATCAGATTTAGGTGTGAACTTTGACCGGACCATTGCAACACTTTACTTTTTCCCCACTCTGTTGTAGTTTTGCTTCTGTGTTTGGGATTATAGTTCTGATTTGGTCCTGGCTTCAGCTGTCAGACAGGTGGCTTCACATTTGACTTCACAATTATTTGGTCTACAGAGGAGTTCATGGTTGAATGAAGGACTTCTAGGTGCAGGTCTTGTGACTGAAAAACAAGACCAGACTATCCCTTACCCAACAGTTGGTATGAGGTGCTAGGGTGGCATAGTGGTGAAGTGGTTAGAGCTTTCTTCTCACAGCAAAAGGCTTGCCTCCCAGCATTTCAGTGTGGTTTGCTTATTCTCCCTGTGCACTTACAGACCAAAAACATGCATTCTAAGTTAATTAGTAACTAAATTAAGGTTTGAATGGGAACATGTTTGTCTCTTTGTGGCCCTGCTGGGACCGACTCGTGTTCTTTGTTCGTACTTTGTAAACCCAAGTCGTGCAGCCACATTCTTTTTGGAGAAAATGGATTTTCTCCTGCGACTCTTCCAAAAGGTCACACTTGTTTAGGTATTTTCTTGAGCTTGAGCTAACTGAGGCCTGTAGCGTCGGAGATGTACATTCTGACCTTGAAGTGAATTTGCTCGTCATACACGTCTGGGAAGATTGGCAACTGTCTTAAAAGATTTTCACCTGTGAATAATTTCTATTTTTTTAGAGGTGGTTATTGGTGATGATCAATTAATCAAATCCATTTGATCAGCAGCACCTGGCTGCTACTTTCTTTCTTAAATTCTATAAAAGCAACAAAGTTGGACGTAGTATTTTCTACACTGCTCTGTTAGTTTGGCTTCATTTTTATTTCAGAAGTAATGATACATTAGGATCTGTTATACTGTATATTTCTTCACGGGACGTTCAACTTGAATACATGTAAAACCTGGTAATGAACTTTTCTTTACATTCTGACACATAAATTCATATAATTATAAAAGGGTGGACTTTATTTTTCCATAATTGTAGTCCTACTCTTTTAATAGGGTAACAGTGAAATTCAGAAGCAGCTGAGAGAAATGAAACGGAAAAATCTGGAACCAAAGTGTTCCAGCATAAACAGAGACAACACCATCCTTTAATTGATTTTGCCTGATAAAATATGAAAATCTGTAATGATTTTTGTTATTTATTACAGTTTTTATGAATTGTTTACACACAAATTCTGGTACTTGAGACAAAATGACCACAACATGTAACTCATGCACCAACTCCCTGAACCAATTCTGTTAAACTACAAGCACAATTCCTGCTTTACACTCAAAATGCAATTCTAAGACACTTTTTTCAAAACACTACACACAGTTTTGCTGCATTTGGCACAATTTTCACGAATAACATCTTTTGTTTTCTCAAGGAACACACTGTTGTTCAAAATTCTAAAATCAATTGCCCTACTGTGCACACTGACTCATCACATGGGCAAACACAGTTCACACAGTTTTACATTTAGTAATCAGAGCTTTAGCACAAAAGCGCAACAGTTGAGGTCTTCTGCTCTGGAGCAATGGATGCCAACGTTGGAAACAGAGGCAGAGCCAGAGGATTGGGAGTAAAAGGAGGAGGACAAGGAATGCTCAGGACCGTAATTTCTGAGGACATCCAAGCCACTTTGGTTGACCAAGTGCTCAACCATGGTCTAACAATGAGGGAGGCTGGGCAAAGAGTGCAGCCAAATTTTAGCAGGTACACTGTAGAATCCATCATCCAGATTTTCCAAAATCTACTCTCACTGGAAAACTGCAGTACTGCATATCAATACAGTGCTCAATGAGTACAGTAGTACAGTATTGCCTGTGGACTGTTCTGTAGGATGGTAAAAAATGAACTATGTTTCAAGTATTTGTGAAAGGACACCCTACACAACACACTCATTCCACCAGATCAGATCATGGCCCAGAGCAGCTCAGGTACATTGTCTTTTGGGACAAAGTAAGTTTCCACCGAGTTGCTCTGGTTCGTAACTGGTTCACTGCCCACCCATGATTTTCATGTTTAGCTCCCTCCATATTCTCCATTCATCAGTCCTATAGAGGATTTTTTTTCTGCCTGGAGATGGAAAGTGTATAACCTAATTTCACAAACTCGTATACCCCTTCTCCAAGCTGTGGAAAACACATGTGGACATACAGTATAGCAGCTGATGCTTTTCATGGCTGGATTCGCCATGCTAGGTGATATTTCCCCCGGTGCTTGGCCAGGGAAAACATTGCTTGTGATGTGGAGTTCAAAACAGAAGACAGGATGCAGCATAGATTTTATATTTTATTTTTTACTGTAACTGTATATGGTAAATTCTTCTGTTGTTTTATATGTATACCACTGTATGTGCAACTTTGTGTTGGTTGGGACGTACACTACATTGGATTGTTTTTGTGGGAAACATAAAATATGTATGTTACCGTTTGTGTGTTCTGAGTGTAAAAATAATATTCTAAAATATTTTTTAACACTGATGTATGTACTATCTGTACTAAGTGTAACACTGAACAAAAAAGGGCCTGTCATTATGATTGGATAGAAGTGTTTTACACTGAGTACATCAGTGTTCAGCTGGTTCTTATAAATGTCTGTTCATATACTGGTTTGTGTCATCTGAGAACAAAATACCATTTTGAGAAGAGATAACATTATTTTGAATGTAAAGTTTCATTTTGAAGGATAATTGTGGGGTTTTGCTCATTGTGTGTGTGTTCTTGACGATAGTGTGTAGAGTTCTGAGAGTATGAGGCATGCTTTCAGAAAATGTGTGGAAACCATTGAGAAAAACTGTAACCTTTATTTAACCAGGCAAATCCCATTGAGATCACAGATCTCTTGCAAGGGAGACCTGGGCCTGAAACAGCCTAACATGCATGTTTTTGGTCTGTGGGAGGAAACCGGAGTACCTGGAGAAAACCCACGCATGCACGAGAAGAACATGCAAACTCCACACAGAAAGACCCCAGATCCAACCGGGGCTTGAACCCAGGACCTTCTTGCTGTGAGGCAACAGTACTAACCACTGAGCCACCACCATGCTACCATAAAATTAAATTTAAATAAATTTGTGTACCCTGTAATTCTGCCTGGTGGAACGTACATATAGGGATAGAAATAAATATCCAAACGTGTTAATTTTACCAAGCAACGATGACCTTAATGGTGCATTTTCACTCTTTCCCAGTGCTGGAGTGGGGAGGACAGGCACCATCATCGCCCTGGATGTGCTGCTGCAGCAGCTGGAGAGAGACAAATCTGTCAACATCAACGCTTTTGTCCACCGGATGAGAGAGCATCGATCCCACATGGTGCAGACTGAGGTAAAACTGTAATAAATTGTTTTAGGATGATCTTTAACATTGTAACAAATCGTTTATTACCACATTCACACAAGTTTAAACTTTGAGTCAGTTTCCTGGAACATTTAACAATGCTGTTTATTTATGGATTCATTGTTCTGAAATCTTACAAATCATTTATCATGCTGAGGTATTTGAAATCTTCAGCTGTACTAAAGTGCAACTAAACTACAACGTTTGCAGCATTGAGGACGTACGTCTTCTGAAAACCCAAGTTCTGGTCGTATTACAAGCCTTTGTGTGCAAATGTTTACATTCTGGCCTAAAAGAGCAAACATCAAGACTTGGTCAACGACATTCCGAAACCCAAGTCATTTCTGTTTTTTTAAGAACAAGGAAGTGTCAGCTTGTGTCTGAAACGGCACATTAATATAATGTATATTTGTTGAAGTTGTGAATGATGAGGAACTCTTTTTTTTTTTTCCTTCCTTTTTCTAAATGTCTTCTCAGTCCCAGTATGTTTTCCTCCACCAATGCATCATGGACAGCCTGCAGCAGAACGAGAAGCAGGAAGAAAACCTTTACGAGAACACAGATTTGATATATGTCAACGCCACTCCCCTCAGAGAGTTCCACAACCAAATGAATCACACATGAACGAGTCTCAAGCCTGCACTGTCATTTTGCACTTAATGACCAATCCCCATGTCAAAAATGTAGTTATATACAGAATTTCAGATCTATTTACATATTTCATTTTCTCTGTAAATGAATGTTCTTTTTGACGTTTTAAATTGTTTTGTGTTTTATTCTAAATGGACAAGTGAGTTCCATTTTTACTACAATTCTAAGAAAACACTGATAACCAGAGGTTTAAAATTTTATTAGCATTGTAAAATATTGAAGTTAAATAAAATTGTACATGCATTTTATTGTTTTGTATATAAAAAAGTTTCCAAATAAAACAAACAAGAGAATCAGTATTTTTTGCAGAAGCAGCTGGGCGTCCATTTCACCTCTTAACTTTGTAGCAGTTAACCCAGGACTTAGTGGATTGGTGGTTTGTGACAGTTTTATAATCCTGAGGCTGCAGGTTGAGTCATGACGGGCATATGTCGTAAAACAATTACCAAATCTTTCATGCGTTTGATCACCGTGGCGACAACCTCTTTACACGTCCTCCTTTGAAACATTTCAGTCCAGTGGGTCCAGTCTTTTGGAAAGACCAAAGTTCTTTTCAATGAGCTCCTGTCTGGCTTTTAGTGCCTCGGTGGCAACCTCCACTGAGGAGCACTGCTTGCCTGAATATGGAGGCTCAGTTTGACCAGCTGCAGGTGGAAAAGGAATGGAAAACTTTTGGGCAATGTTGTGCAGCACACTGCACGTCTTAATAATGTTGGACTTTTTGTTCAAAGACCCGTCGTCCGCAAACCCAAGTTGCAAGAGACACTTGAAACGCCTCTTCATGGAGCTGAGCGTCGTCTGCACGACGTCATGGATCTTTGCGTGGGCTTCGTTAAAGCGGATCTCGCTGTCGTTTGCAGGCTGTGGCACGGGAGTCAAGACATGTTTGCTTAGGCGGTAACCTTTCCCACCTTTATAGGACACAAGAGAGAAGGCCGTCATTAATTCAGCACTACAGAAGTATTGAAAAAACATTTCTGACAATGTTTTTTTTTTTTTTGCAACGATAATCAATCCAGAGTTATTATGACACAAAATAACTTAAATGTGTACTGCTGGAGATGAAGCACTAAAGCAAATCATGAACGGAAAAATGTGCAGATTTGCAAGTTCATGACATTGAAGCATACGACTCCATTAAAAAGCATCTTTGAAATAAAACATGCAAAATATACATCAAAACATGCCGTGTCATTGGAAGTAGTGTGCTATGACTAGGCCTGTCACTATAACAAATTTTCCTGGGCGATTAATTGTCTCAGAAATTATTGTGATAAACGACAATACGGTTTGAAATTTGACAATAATCATTTAGTAATTATTGTCAAATTTAAGAAGAAATGTTGGTTAATTTATTTTGCGTGCATTATCTTTTTTTGACCGCTGTTTGGCGGTATAAGACTGTTTGAACCGAAGGATGGATAGTGAGGGAGCGAGCAGCGTGTCTCGTTAAGAAAAATGGGAGAGAGGCCCCTTGACATGACATGGGCTGTCTTCTCTTTGGTTCTCAAAATGGCGGACGCTCTGTGTGGTTTCAGCTCTTTAGCATAAGATTTTTCACACAAGAGCTTTTAATAAAAAAATCAATAAACAAGTTCTCAGCTTCTTTTTTGCAGAGAAAAACAACTTTTTACACGAAGGCACGAGTTTCAACTGTGAATTTTGGAGCTTCGACAAGACGGAGGTTTTTTCCCCGAGGTCGGCCTTTTAGCTTAGCTTGTAGCTTAGCTTCTCAGCTTAGCTGCTTTTAACGATCCAAAAACACAATTTTGGATGGTTGAAACAGATTTTAAAGAAAAGAGAAAGGGCGGTGAAGAGAACTGGAGTTGAGCTTTTTGTCATCCAGTGTCTTCAAAGAGAGAGACATGAAGAAATGATAAAGCCGATAAATGAAAATGAGGTCGATAATTTTCATTTATCGTGCGATTAAAACCAACAAAGTCCATGCTCAATAATCCAGGTATACAATCCAACAATTTTCAGTCAGGTCATCTGGACAGTTTCTTTTATTTTTTCTGAAACGTTTCACCTTCCATCCAGAACGTGTTTCCTTTACTGATGAAGCCTTCTGGATGGAAGGTGAAACGTTTCAGCACCAAAAACAAAAAGGAAAAAAAGAAACTTTCCAGATGACCCGACTGAAAATTGTTGTATCTTGCGATTGATTTATTGTGACAGGCCTATTTGGGTCTTTAACTGTTTTTTTTTTTTTTCCTTCTTCTTTAAAGAATCTCCCTGTTTTGTTGTTTGTTTGTTTGACAACATGGCGGGGCTTGTTCCCACCATGATTCTGTCATTGTAGAAAGCACCTGGTCTGTCCCTGCTTGTGTTCATGATTCTCTGCATCTCACCAATGAACCGGAACGCTCCGTGCACGTCATCCTCCACCTGCCTCCCCTTGAACGACGAGTCCCACATGTCCTGCTCGTGCGTGCTGCCCACGCAGCACTTCTCCACGCTCAGTATGTTGCCCTCAGAGTCACAGATCAGCTGGCTCACCACCGATGTGTACCCGAGCACGTTGATGAAGGACTTGAACGTGCTCTTGTCGTAAGGAGAGGCTCTGATCTTGAAGTGCGCGGGCGCCAGCACGCCCAGCACGCCGGGGATCCCGCACAGCTCCTCCGTCTTGGAGGCGGTGCTGGCTCGTGCTTCCGCGGTGAGGGGGAACGAGATGAAGACGTCGGACATCCCCGCGATGACTCCGGACATGGTGCTCACCACAGTGGTGAGGCTGACCCGATGGTTCGTCCCTAGTTTCAGCGCCACGGAGGGAGTGAAGAGCCCCTGCGCGTAAAAGTTCAGCGCTAGCATGACCATCGCGTCCACGGACGGCGCGGGTCTCTTAAAATCCGACGTCTTCATGCGGTTCCGGACAGCGTCTGAGATGAATGTGATGCAGGGTCTGGAGAGGTGAAATACCTTGAACAGCTCCTCATCGGTGAAACTATCGAAACAACTCGGAGTAGCTGACCCGGGATTAATTGTCTCTGGCTCGCCGAACAGGAGCTCCTCCTGGACAGCGAGCCACACCGGCACCGCAAAGGCCATCTGTCCACAACTACAACCTAAATACTGTGCGCGGCTGCTAACAGGGACAACAATACGTGATGCATGGAGAAAGATGGTAAAACACAGCTCAGGCCCTCAGACAAACAATAACTCTTCTTCTACAGGGACATTGACAAGACGCTGCAAAACTTGAGCGTTGCTGCCCCCTGGTGGTCATTCCTTTTATAGCTGGTTTGACTCGAGCACTAGTCAAAGTCGTTTGTTTTCACCACCCAGTAAACAATAATATA